TCCGGAGTCTGCACTGTCCAGTTAGCACTATTATTCTAGCCCTAGCACGTCCAAGATTTAGTACGTGTGTCGCTGTTCTGCGATGGTACTTTAATAATTTTTTTCGCATGCGTCTGTGATGTGCTAATTCCCATTGAGCTTATTATTGACTAACTCCCATTGATTTATTATTAATTCAGTGTCCAATGGATCCGCGTTTTTGGCATTTTGGTAAGCCACAAAAGGGTTCAGGGCCAGTAGGTGTCCTCATTGAACTTTCCTTGGCCAATTTATAGGCTTCTTCGCTGCCTCTCTGCCCTGTGTGCCCTGGCACCCAGATAAGGGTAATTTTGTTATTTTCTCCAATGTCTGGACAGGGCTCTAATGCAGTCCCAAACGACTGTACTTTACCGTCGATGCGACAATTGCCTTCAATGCCGCCTGTCTGTCCGAGAAGATGGCTATTCTATTGATAATCCCCAGCCTTTTTAACTCCCTGGCACATTTTCCAAAAAAGCAGCAAATATAAGGTCCGGAGAAAGGATATCAGGATAAGGTATTAAGGAGTGGGTTGGAAGCGTGTTTATAAAGCATGTCCATGTGCCAGACCCTTTCAAAAGCCTTTAACACATCTACGAACACACCAATTATTCTCTATTATCTATTATTATTCTCTAGATCAGAGGTGATAGTGTCGACAAAAATGAAACCGTGTTGCAATGTGGAATGATGAGTACGGAAGCCGAATTGGTAAGAAGGAATGATTTCATGACCATGTAGGATGGATGTTTTAAAAGGAGTCTTACAAGGATTTTGAACATTGAAAGAAGAACACTGATGGGTCTTTAAGATGATAACTGGTTGGGAGGTTTTTGAGCTTTAGTAATGAAAATTCCATAAGAGAGATAAGAGAGTGTGGTTCGTAGGGAAAAGACTTTTCTCTTATTCTTGCAGTGAAATTCTTAGAGTTAAAAAGTAAATTTACACATTTGTCCAACGCCAATAAATAAAAAGTCTTGCCATTATAATTTTCTTTGTCATGAAATAATTCTAAGTTATATCTACTGCGTGTTTCTACATGTGTAAAATCATTTGGGATGACTTGTCGAATTTTTACGTCGCCACGTTACGTCTGATGATTTGTTATTCCTGAGCCTATTGATAGTTTTAAAACTATTTTCAGCTTGGGTTTACATCTGAAGGAGGCGCCGTTGGGAAATTTTGTTAAATATGGCAACATTCCCAAATAAACTGCTTCGAATTTATTTTTACACCAGATTTGCCGTGGAATGGCTTTTCTCATCCATTGCAGCTTTTATGCTCAATTTTACATCTAGTTAAACATTTATTTATTTTTTGCTATATAAATCAATAGGCTTTTTGTATTTGGACAGCAAGTTTAACAATCCTTAAATTAATAACCTATCAATAAAACTTCCGAGACATAGTTTCTTTCAAAAGTTCTACTTTTATTTAAAAAAAAAAAAGCCTGTTTGGATCTTGTAAGGTTATTGCTAATGATTTATTTCAAAGGAAGATGGCTTTATTCGAAATCTTAAAACTACCACTGTACAAAATTGGTAGATTATGTACAGGCCATCATTGGATCAATGACTTTGTAGTGTAACTATCGGGAGTGAACATTTTTTTTACCAATTCGGGTTTGGCGGTTGTTTTTTTGACAATGGGTTTTGTAGGAGACAATCATCGCTATGAGTTAAGTCCACTTCCATCGGTAAGGGCAATTCTTCGTTTCCTCTGGCACAAATGGATTTTCCTTAACTTTTTGTGTTTTTAACCATCTCTGGTGTTATATTTAGGGGAAGTTGATGCTCGTTCTGTTGAACCGGGTTCTGTTCGACTTTTTCCAATACTGGCGGCCTAGAAATGTCTGCATAAGTCTGTTGAACTACAGGCAACTCTACATTTTCCTCAACTCACTTGAGAGGTGTCAACGTTTTCTCAGGCAGCGGCTCCATACGCGTTGTTTGTTCAAGGGAAATGGCTGTTCTGAAGATGGTTCGTGTTAATGGCAATATGGGCTAGGAGTGGATCCCTTTTTAACTTCCTCTTCCTCTTAGTTTATATCTGGATCAGATGCTTTGCCATTTTCTTCCTGTTTGGCTCACTAGTTCTATTTTCTTCATCTATATCAATCTTAATTGCTGGGGGAAGAACTCGTTGTTATCTTCAACTGCTTCAGCAGTGCCATCCTCAAGGACTGGTTTGTTTTCATCCCCATCATCATCATCTTCGAATCTTTAGTTTCTTCCGAATTACGAGACACCGTTTCATTGATTTTGATTGCCCCCTCTTGGAAAATCAAAAGGGGGCCTTTTTCTTTCTGTCCTGATACTTGAAGGTTCCAAGCCCTTCATCTGTGTGGTGGTTGGTTCCCAACGTAGAAGCTGATTTTTTGTTTTAGGTGGGGGAGGTAGTCACTCCTTTTCTTTTGTGGACTGAACGTCTGTCTGAAGGTTTGTCTCCAGATTTCTTTCTGTTTGTGAAGCAGTGATGTCCTGCTTCAGTTTTTTTTCTAGGCTCATCCAACGAGGAGCTAGGGAATTAAATAGTCCGCTCCATCAGAGCGCTTGATGGAATAAGTCTAGATACTCTCTGAGGTCGCCCGGTATTAGAGAGGCACCGTTAAGACAGCCTATTAACCCACGGCTGCCAATGAGTCATTCGGCACGGTTCGCATAACACCTTTCATTGAAGCGGATGCTGTTTTCTGTCTAGCCCAAGACTCTAAAGGGGAGGGGGTTGACAGGAGGCAGGACGGAGAGGGTGTGTGATTGGTAGGAGTTTGTTTAGAGAGCGATGGTTAGGGAGTTTGAGTACCTCACTTTAAAGGGTATAGGACACCAGAGCCCTTTCGCCAACTCGCACAGTGCCATGACGTGGACAATCAAATTGTGAACCATCCTGTCAGGCCGGCATCACATTGCTGATATCTTCTGACAATTTACGCTTAAACCTCAAAATGATATACCAGATAACACTGTGTTCCCATGGCGAGCCCAGGGGGTCCTGCTGCTTATAATTTCAGTTCTGTACGGCGCCATGAAACATCATGTATACACGACTTGTAACCTTTAAGATGGAGTCCCTTCCCGTCAATAAATTATTTAAAAACAAATGAAGGAACCGAATCAGGCGTTTTCTATACAAGCCCAAAACATGAGCAATTAAACTCATTAGGGAAGTGCAAGTTCAAGCTGAAATATATGCCATCAACGCTTTAGAAAATAATAAAAAATTGTACACTGACGAATAAAACTCCCCATAAAATATGATAGCAAAGTAGGAATTAAAGCATTACCATGAATAAAAATCACGTCAAAATTAGTCAGTGAATGCATCCAAAATCTCCAAACCCTCCAAAACCTGGGGAAAAACAACAACCGGATGATATCTTGGGTACCAGGATACAAGAGAATTTTGGGTAACGAAAAGGCAGACACACTGCCCAGACTCTGCAAGACCATACATCGGCCGTGAACCTATTCTTGGGATAACAAGAACAAGCATAGAATGGATCAAGAAGAAGGGAGAAAAAAAAGTGTATAAACTGTAGAGGTGCTAGACAAATAAGCTTATGTTAAAACAACCCTCACCAAGACGGGCAAACTCACTGCTACAGTATTAGAGATTAAACTCAGAGGAGTGGTACGACTACTGGTCACTGGATCTGAGGAACATCTACATAACATAGGTATATTCAATGATGACCTCATTCGTAGGTTTGATGAGGAGGAAGAAACAGCCACCCATACCTTCGATACGAAGAGCTCAATGGAGACATAACCTGGGATGACAAAGAAAACTCAAGGAAAGGAAATGTAGCAACGACAGTCAATGACCTAGTACTTCTTAGAAGAAGGTTTGAGTCTATTGCACTGAACTAAGGAACTAGAAAAGTACAATAAGCCAGAAGGCTTCCAAAATATAGTTATTTATTTGGCGGCAGATTGTGCCAGTACCTCGCATTGCTTAAAGAATTTAATGGTTACATCTCTGATGTATTCCAGCACTATCAAACTGTTTGTCGCAGTATGCAGTTCCGATATAAGTGCAAAATCCTCGGAATTCCAGTCTCCAGGAGTAGTATGAATGGAGGAACACTTGATACAGCAGAAGTTTATTGGTGACAAAGCATATGAAAAAGCGAATAGTGGTCGTGCGAAGCAACCGACCAATGGAAACATAACCTGGAATTTGAAAAAAGGGGGGATAATCTGTAGCAACGTCAATGAATGATCTAGTACTTCTTAGTAGGTTAGAGTAGATTGCACTGAACTATGGAACTAGTTAAGTAAAATAGGCCCGAAAGGTATATTGCTTGGGGTAACCCCCCTCCCCCCCAAAAAACCGACTTTCTTTTACCCATCAACATTATCATCACCACGGTATTTATAAATAATACATTTTCCAATTTGGAGCATGGTGAAAGGAACAGAAGACGTGAATAATTATGTCCTCATCGTGGGCACACCTCCAAAAAAGATCAGATACACTTGAAAGAGAGGTGATCCGGAGGCTGAGCCTGTGTGCCACAGTCGTAGAGAGCTGCCCATTTATGGGTATCGTCGGGATCTTTTCACTCTTCAACGAGCATAGAAGTCGTTTCACGTGAATATTAAAATGTTGAGGTACTTGACCCAATTGAAGAAGGTCGGATCATTGCCGAAGGTCTTTTTCCAACTTTCGGAAGGGCTTCTCAATTAAAACGATTTTAGGAATTTGTTTGATTTTATTTTTATTTTAAGAAAAAACAGGGAAAATATGTCCTGGTTAAATAAATAAAATTTTAAATTTTTTTTGTCATTATCTGAAATAGAATGTTTTTAATTTTTGCTTTGTTTTTGTATTTTATTCATGTGGAAGTATTGAAAATTAAATTAAATTTAGTTTTTATATGTAATTTTTATGTGTTCTTTTAATTTGTGTTTTTGTTTTGGGTTTTAAATGATTTTTGTTTGAAAGGAGGGCAGTCTGGTTGGGTTGGCACGACTGCGGTTGACAATAGGCCTCGGACCCAATACCCTGGTCTGGTTGATGGGAGGTAGGGGCGATCGAGAAATTTCTTAGTCGAGGTTTATTTGTCAATATGAGCCGTTTAAAATTGTTTGGCCAAAATTCCGAAAGCGGGCAAAATCTGGGCATCCCATCAAAAACGGACCCGATCGAAAACGAAAACTAAACGGAAATACATTTCAAGATGGTCGAATTTATTTTTGTTTAGGCTTTGTTTTCGCCGAGCCGTTTTTTTTTTTGTTTATTGACCAAAGGCCGAAGTCATGTGAGTGCGATTTTTAATAAACGAAAAATCACCGTTGTTCTCTTTCATAAAAAGAAAAAATCCGCCTCCTCGTGGGATGGAGTACGGAAGAAATCGGCCGATAAGGCCTGGCAGCCGTCTCCAGACACTATCGTTGAGATCTGGGTTAGGACTGGCCATGGAAGACAACTGGACTAAATCGATAGACGAATCTGGCAACAGAAGATATTCAGACTCGGAAGAAAGACCGCAGAAGACGGCGAGCAAAACGGGTGAGTTGGTTTTTAAAAATTTTTACCCGACGCCTCGGCCCATTTCCACCATCCAACAGTCCAACATTCCAACCCTCGTCCAATTTCCAAGATTTACCATATTTTAAAAAATAAATCCATTGTCCAATTTTTTCCCCCATGGTTGTTTATTTTGTCGTAACCTCGGCTCTATGTCAACACGGAAATTTGCAAAAGCGTTCTCCACTCTAGCCCTTTTTTCACCCAGGTTCTCAAATAATTGCGTTTCGAAGAGTTTTGGACATCAACACTCCTCTTGACAATCCCATCGTAGATAACGTCCCCCTTTTTTTTATTTATTTATATTTTTTCTTAATAAAAAAATCATCGGGGTCTAGTTTTGTTTTTGATATTAAATTTTTGAAACTCTACCTTGCATCTTAAGTAAATCGATTGTAAATTTCTCAAGACAGGAGACAGGCGAATAAACGGAAAATTTTGACTTTTATTGCTAGTTTCACTCGTTATCTTTTTCTGTTAAGATTAGCCGAAGATTTTTATGTACATGTTTTAAATTGCCTTTAAATTTACCCCAGATTTAATCTTTTTCGTCTCCTCTCCACTTGTGGTTTTTTCTCGATTTATCTCTCAAACGGTCGGACAATATTAGATAATTTGAATTTTTTAATCTCTCCCTGTACGGTTTCACTCGAAAACTCGATTCGTTCGGATGCACAGAAAATTGCTTCAATCGGCTCAGCTATGGGTATGAACGTTGCAGATATACCGTCCATAATGTTATTGTTTCGGTTTTTTTTATTCATACTGGTTGGTCTAAACACCAAACTGATTTGTTTTCTAATGCGTTTTCAAAAACAAGTTTGGTCATTTCCAATCTGCCTATACTTCTGTTTTGGTCAGTCAAATGATGACATTTGGCCATCTTCTGATAGACTCACAGCTTAATGTTGAAATGCTCTTGACAGGCCTATTTGTATGTCGAATGCAGGATAACGGATTGTAATTGTTAAGTAATTGAATTGTATTGGAGTCAGACATTTTGTTAGATTTTGTAGTAGATGTTTTTCGTTGGAATGTATTTGGGGTGAAGAATGTGTAGTTTAATGAGTTCCGAGTTGCTTGAATTTACATTGAACTGTGAAAAGAATTTCGACATATTCGACTTAACTTCATTTGTGAGTTTGTCAGAAGAAGGTGATATGTCGAAATGCATTTGACCAAAATTGTGAGTATAGGCACATCAGAAATCACAAAACTACATGTTCAACGCCCCACGTATTCTAACAAAAAATTTAATTTAAATCTAATATAAATCTATAGTGAGAATAGCCAACTGGATTAAAAAAATCAATAAACAAGTATGACACATCGTTAAGTCCCATCTTTGAATTATGTCAGAATCACTAGATTATAGAAATATAGCAGATATGGTTTTGGTCTGTCAAATGCAATTCAACATTTTGCCAACCCCCGATAACCCACAAATTAACATGTCGTAATGATTTTGACAAACCAGAATATTTTTTGTTAAAATATATGTGGGTGAAGAACATTTGGTTTGGTGATTTCACGTCTGTTGAAACTCGCTATTTTAGTCTGTCAAGACTGTTTCGACATATTCTACTTATCTTAAGTTGTGGACTTTAATCAAAGATGGTGATATATGTCGAAATGTGTTTGACAGGCCAAATCAGTCTAATAGGCAGATAGGAAATCACCAAACTATAAGTTCAACATCTTATATACATTCTAACAACAAATATCTAATGTAAATCAATAATGTGATAATAGCAAACTGGGTTAAAAAAATAAATGAACAAGCATGACATTGTTAAGTCCCATCATTGGATTATATTCAGAATGACTATTTTGTTAGTTTTATAGTAGACATTTTTTGGAATTGTATGTGGGGTAAAACAACTTGTAGTTTGATGATTCCAGCCTCTGACTATACTCACATTTTGATCTGTGAAGAGCATTTAACTTCAGTTGTTGGCTTATAAGAAGATGGTGATATGTCGAAATGTATTTGACAGACTAAAACAGACCGATAGGCAGATTGAAAATCACCAAACTATAAAAGAGAAAAAGTGAGAACAGCTTGATTTAAAGCTAAAAATAAATTATATTAAAAACTACTTGATTTAAAAAAATAAATAAATAAACAAATATGACACATTGTTAAGTCCCATCATTGAATTATATAAGAATCGCTACATATTTTGTTAGTTTCTACTTATCTTCAGTTGTGGACTTTAATCAAAGATGGTGATATGTTGAAATGTGTTTGACAGACCAAATCAGTCTAATAGGCAGATAGGAAATCACCAAACTATAAGTTCAACACCTCATGTACATTCTAACAACAAATATCTAAAGAAAATCTATAATGAAATAAAGCGATAATAGCCAACTGGGTTAAAAAAATAAATAAACAAGCATGACACATTGTTAAGTCCCATTGAATTATATTCAGAATGACTATTTTGTTAGTTTTATAGTAGATATTTTTATTGAATTGTATGCTGGTACTTGTAGTTTAATGAGTTCCAGGTTGCCTGTACTCACATTTTGATCTGTGAATAGCATTTTGACATATTCTAGTTAGCTTCAGTTGTGGATTTTAATCAAAGATGGTGATAAGTTGAAATCCATTTTACAGACCAAATCAGTCCAATAGGCAGATTGGAAATCACCAAACTACAAGTTCACAAACCCACATACAACAACTATTTAACAAAAACTATCTAATGTAAATCTAATATAAAGTGGTAATAGTGAACTAAAGTTTAAAAAAAATTGCTTCATCCAACATACATTTCAATCATTCTGGAGATATCACCAACAAATTAACCAAATTGTGACAATATGATATGATGTAAAGGTAAAATTAAGTACTTCAGCGATTGTAATTAACAATAATTAACATGCATATTGCTGGAGGGATGATGTTGACACTATATATCACCACTCATAATAATAAATACACTCACTGATACAAAACAAATAACCACAAAACACATAAAACAGATCTATATACATTATAAAAAAAACCACACCCTATAAAAAGCGGAGTAGGGGGCCCATAAACTTGCTATTGTGTCTCAGAACGATTCTTAAATCTGGTGGCATGCCTATATGCTCACTGTAAGGAGCCAATGCATGACAAGCTTCTGTTTTATGGGTCACTTTGAGCAACCTATCTCTGCATAAGAAGCACCTGCACTGGCTTTGGCCTAGGAGCAGGTGCCCATGTGTCAACCATGTATGACCTATTCTTAATCAGGCAGGGACGATGCCTCGTTTCCGGCTCAGGTAATTGGGGGGGCATCCACAGGTCGTTGACACACGAAGAGCCTCTCGGACGACCCCACCCATGCATGATTTATTGTTTCATATTTTTATTAATTTGTTTTAAAATTTATTTTCAAACAGTTGAATATCTCTTAAGTCACTTTGATACAATTGATCATACATTAAAAAAAAGAAAGAAAAAAAGCTACTATGTTATTACAAAACAACCATTTGTAGTGATTAGGCCTTTCATGATATATTTTCTTTAAAAGCTACCATGTTATTACAAAAAAACTATTTGTTGTAGTTAAGTTTTACATGATTTATTTTCTTTAAATAGTTGTTTTTTTCTATTTTATCTCATGACAATATAACGATGATAATTTAATTTTCTAATGTTTCCCTTATATGGCTTTACTCAATAACATTTGTTTAAATTTATCAAACCTGCTTCATTGTGGCTATGGTGAAATACACTGTACATTGCTTTGTTTAAGATAATTACATTTTTTTAAATGAACCAAGAATATATTGCATGTCACACTGACACAATTCATCTCCCAACACATCATCAAATCTGTCAGAAAGGTTTAAATATATTTTAATAAAACAATTGTTAATTTTTATTTTTTATTTTTTTAATTCCCCCCCGCAATGTGAATCAGGCTTTAAAAGTATCTGGTAATTTAATGATGCAAAAGAACATTGTGTCATACTTATTTTATTTATCCAGTTCACTTGTCTAATTTTATCTCGTGCCCAATATGACAGTATTAGATAATATAAATTTGCAATATTTCCTTATTAGGTTTCACTCAAAAATTTATTTCATTTCAATGCTCAAAATAGCTTTATATGCAAGCAGTGGCTATGAAACTTAATGTGATTTATTGTTTATAAATGTTAAAAAAATGTTACGGTTTCATGTTATTTTTGAATTGGTTCATTCAAAGCATAACATAAATTTTGTTAGCTTTCATATATTGTATAAATTGTGTATATAATCTAATTGGACAATCTCTCATGTCCTTGTGATACAATTGATCATTGATTATCAATTATCAACTATGAAAAAAAGAAAGGCTAAAAGTTTTATATTTCAATGTGAACCATGATTAAAAAAGTATTAAGTAATTTAATTAAGTTAAGTTCTGGTGTTACACTTTTTTATTTATTTATCAAGTTCGCAATTACCAAATGGACGTGCATCATATATTTTCCCTTGTTCATTAGGATAAAACCCCTTGTGTCACTGAGGTGAGACATCCAACATAATCGTAAATGCGAAAACAGCTGAAATACTGTCAAAATGTTATTATAATGGTTATTACATTTTGTATTTTGATGTTAAATAAGAAAAAAACACTGTTGAAAACAATATTAGATAATTTAATTGTCCAATGCTTGTGTGTACGTTTTCATTTAAAAACATTTTTAGATTGGTTAAGACGGAATGGTTTTTATAGTACCCACTATCAAAGAAGGGTGGCATGGATAGGGATGAATAGAGGTGGCCACAAAGCCTTCTGCACCTTGACCTATTGTTCTATTGTGCCTCTATAATACATATATATATTTTTTTTAGGACACACTGGTTGTACTTCAGGTTGTTAGTCAACCTCTACAGCCTTGTCAACTGCTTCTTAGTGTAGGATCTTGCTTGCAGTGTTTCCTCTCCTAGTTGTAAAAATCAACATCTACATAAACCCTCACAAAAACATAGAATTTGTTCTGTGGTCTCCTCTTCTTCCTGGCAATATCTGCCCAGTGTTTCTTCTATCAGTTCTCCTATCTGGTGCATGTGCATTCTTAGGCAGTAGTGCCCTGGTCAGGAGTCCAACCCAAAGGGCTTACCATCCAGTAATTCCTTTGTGAGTCTTACGGATGGCCCTTTTGTGAATTTTTGGGGTCACCAATAGGCAGACCCAAGAATTACCATTAGTTCAGTCGTTCACTGAGTTTTGTTTAAAAAAAAGTAAAATTTCCTTCTTTAAGTCTGCCCTGAGTGATAATAGTTTGGTTGATTCAGATTTCTGGTTTGCTTATTGTTTATTTTAGCCTTTCGCTGGTGGTCGGTTGGTTGTTTATTGGCATGTTTCACCTATAAGTTCACTGATAAAATACACAAGCCCACCACTGGAGTTGGTGATACACCAAAGGCGCCTGTCACAAACAGTGAGCTATTCAGACCAGAATGATAGGCAGCAACCATTTGTCAAAATTAAGAATTGTTGATCCATTTAAAGTAAATAAACATTGCTGTTCTTCCAAACCCACATTTGTCCGGCATGTAGAGAAAGGTTGCTCAATGTGTCCCACCTAATTGAAGGGTGCAATTCCTTGGCTATAATAGAAAGCGTGTAGGAATGTCACCCGATATGAGAATTGTGCTTGAGCACTGTAGTGCGTATCTGGGTCCTATGTTCCGATTTTTGGAGAAAGCAGGGTTGTTTTACTGTAATAGTACTTATAGTTTCCTGTATCTGGCTTGTATGTGTGAATGTATTTATTAGCGTGAATATGTAATGTAAGAGATGTCAGAATATTGTACCCCATTGACTCTCAAAAATCGTCATTTTTTAAGATTATCCAGAGAAAAATTGGCATTGAGATGGAATTGATGAGCCAAAGCAATCCAAGAGAAGAAGCATGAGATTTTGTCTAATAATCTCTAGCACTTTTAGTTTAGGAAGCCGGTGATTTGAAGATTCGGGGCTTTACGTATGTACGTATAACTTTAATGAAAAAAAAAAAAAACAACCAAGACTCCAAGTAAATCACATAATTAGGGGTGAACAATGGGAGAAAATAGGCTTTACAAATGAAATAGCATTGCAGGGCTTCAGTTACGTAATACTATTGAAAGCCTAAAGCCTGACATAGCACATGGTAGAGTGGCATATAGCTAAAAAAAAGGTTGAATTTATTTCTAACAGGGATGAGATTATTAGAGATGAGATTTGTCCAAATAGAATTCAAAGCATATTTCGTGGTGTGAATCTTGCATTTGAGGTGGGGTGTTGAGGATGGATGTTTCATACAAAATTATATTACAGACTGTTTTCAATCAGGCAATTAAATAATTATGGTGTGTTTATTTTGCTATTTTTTCTCACTTTTTCAATTTATCTTGCAACCGGTAAGACTTTTGTTAGATAATTTAAATTCCTAGTCTTTCCCTCTACGGTTTCACTCAAAGATTTGTTTTTCTTGAATTAGTTGCAATGGCTTCATGTACAGTGGCTATTGGTCTGACTGAATAATTTTCTTTTCTATCATGCTACCATGTTGTCTTTATATTTTTTTCCTATTCTCCAAAATCCTAAATCAAACTGATTTTAAATATCAACTAAATCCCCATACATTATAAAAAAATTTATGAATATATCAATGTAAAATTAATTGAAAAACCCTTCAGTTTGTAACAATTATGTAATCACCCTAAATTGTCAACACTGATGATTCACCTGGAATGGCAAACTCATTATGTTGAGCATTCATGTTGACATACATTTTATCTAATGGGTTGAATATTAACAAAATAGACTGTCACTTTCTATTAAGCTTTTTTAATAGTGTAATTATTTTCATTATGTTAACAATTGATTAAGTATTAAATTTTTCATATAATCAATTAAGACAGGTGTGTTACTTGTTTTTGGTGATAAATATTTTCAAAATATTAATGATTATTTTATGTTCAGTACCTGGTTACAAGTATTGATATATTTATAACACTATTAATTTGAATTTTTTTAAATGGAACAATTTTTGTGTTTCAGATATATCATCAAACTTAATTTTTATGAGGAATTCAGCTTTAGGCCAGTCAGCACCATCTTTATCTAGTTGCGTGGTAAGATTATTTCATTTCTATTTGCAACTCATTCATTAGAGAAGATATATAAAAATTTAAAAAAAAGAAGACTACATAAAGCAGGCAAAAAAATTGTTTTGAGAAAAACAATTTGGATTTATTTAAACACCCTTTAAAGACCTTAAACATGAATTTTTACAGAAAAAAAGAAGACATTTTTGGGCATGATCAGCCTTTAGGTCTACGATGTCCAGTGATACACTTAAAAATTCATAAATCCAATAGATGGTATTCAAATTTAACATAACAAGAATCGTTTAAATGATGTCAATAACCTTTGCTTTTTATGTTATTATAAGTGAGAAAGATAAAGATAAAATCAACAAAAACGACTCAGACATTTTATTCTTTATCTCCAGGTTCTGTGTTTACTGAGACCAGGTACATGTAGTATTAAATGTAGTTTATAGGGTTCTAAACCACTGTAAAGTTTCATGTGGATCAGTTGAGTCGTTTTAAAGTTATAATCATTTTTGTAATTTCAAAACAAAAATTTAAGGCATTAGAAGGTGAAAAGTTTGAGAACAAAATATTTTAAACAATTTGTGGCACATGTATTTCAAGATTATGATATATCATTCGATTAATATGGAAGATAGTATTTAGTAAGGTTACATATATATAAAGTTACAAAAAAACTTGAGCTAGGAGCAAAAAAAAAAAAAAAAGGCGAAATTAGTCCCAGGAAGCCCACTGTCATCAAAAATTGTAATGTCTTTCTTACTTCATTGCTGTGATGTAAATAGATAAATGAACGCTGTAAATAAAATAAATCTAACTATATGACCTCCCCTGGGTATGAAGTACATATGTTTGTAATTTGAAATTGTTCATAATTTTTGTCTAGTGGGTATAAATGAAGGAATTACAAGAAAACTAGTAGGAAAGAAATCTAAAGAAGCTATGAAGCAAGAAATCTATATTCGGAATCTTTATATCTATGAACAAATTTTCAAATTAAATTTTACCCTTTTGCAGAGCCAGAATATGCCACAATATTTAATACTTTATTATAGCCTACTTAGGACTAATTTCGCTCAACTCCTGCACCAATTCTAAAATTTATTGATTTATGAACATCCCTTAAAATTTCATTCAAATTGATTGAGAGTGCTGTGAGCAGTGCAGCTTTGTGAATGCAATTTTTGGTCAATTTACAATAAAATATATTTTTTTCTTGGCTCCTGGGTTGGGCCCAGTGGATGGAACCCTCGGTCATATGTCTAATATTTTTCAATCTATTATCTCTAAAAAAGTTTTATTGAAATCATTGACCCCACGACCGTAGCCTCCCCTTGTAGGTTCTATTAATGACTAATCAAGAGAACATTTGAACTATAATATGAACACCAAACTTATTTCATGTTTTATAATAAAGGCCAGTTGATATAATGATACAAATTAAGACAAAGAACATATTCTCCACAAGAATGTACAAAAATGAATGTAAGCTGGTTGATAAGATTAGAAAGTTTTTTTTGTCTACTTTGTTCATTTTTCTTCGCACTCTGTAGGTAGCTCATACTGAATTGTCATTGAATTTTGCTTCCTCCACTCTCCAACCAGGTAATAGATAGTGCATTATAATATTTTTTATCGTTGAGCATATAAATAATAAATTGTAAATTCTGCTTAACTAAATTTGACCCTTTACACAAGCATGATCACTACTGTTTCAGCAAAATAACAAAATAAAAGATAAAAATATGAAGAAAAACAAACTAGATTGCAGGTGAATTTGTTGAAGTGACTGTAAACACAAATAAAACTAATCAATTGTTCTCGTTTGCATTCTAATTTTGAACTTTCTCGCACCATTCAGCCGTAGAATAATTCATGCTTAGACATTTGGCAATAATGAGAATGGTTAACGTTCATTACCCCCCCCCAATGATTTAAGATAATTTGTTATATTGTTAACTGATGAAAATAAATACAGTATACATATACGGTAGTAAAAGCTCTTAGGTGGATGATAGTAGAGAGCGGTTAAATAGATAATAATCTGTTTCCTCATTTGGCTATTCATCATCTCACCTTATTCCAAAATGTAAAGCTATAAAAAATGTTTATGGAGGTATCCAGCAACAAAAATTAATTGGGACATTGATAATTTCCTCTATTAAGCAACCAGCTTTCTACCTTTTAGTCCAAAGAAGCCTTTTATTTATAATATTTAACAAGATTAATGTAAGTAAACTGGTCCCAACTGTTGTTTATTAACAAATATTAATGCTTTTTTGTCTGTAGAATCCTCATAATGTCCTAATGAAAGATGGAAAGCTTGGGAGTTGTATAATAGACCACGTAATCAAAATGTGAAGAATAAAAGTAGATATATATTCAAGTATATACAATAAGTAAACTAAATTTATTGAACCGGCACTGGGTCTGTGTACACTTGAGGTTTTTGATGTCACTCATTTGTGTTTAAAAATGGGCTTAACTTTAAGATAGAATAATCTCAAGGTATTGTGTTTGGATCTAGCCCCTTACTTCCAGCCCTCTGTTCACCATTAACAATTACCCTACAGTGCTCTCTCCCTAATCCAATCCTCGGTACTTCAAATTGAAAAAAATTCAAGAAGTTAGTATTTTAAAAGAAATAAATAAAAATTGTTTGGTAGAGGGGAGAAAAGAGTGAGAATGAGTGTGAGATAGTGAATGAGAGAGGAAAGAGAGAGAGAGAGAGAGAGAGAGAGAGAGTGAGTGAGAGAGGGAAAGAGTGAGTGAATTAGAGGGAGAGAGATAGTGATTGAGAGTGAGAGATGATAGTGAATTATAGTAAGAGGGAAAAAGAGAGAATGAGAGGGTGAGGGAGAGAGAAATCTTCTCCTCCCCATTAGTACCCTTTGATGATGGTTACGGGGGGGGGGACTCATTAAGTAGCTTGAAGATACACATAAACATCTAATGAATTCCTTTGTATGTCTTATCTTCAACTTGCCAAAGATGTCCCACGTGACTGATCTGTACTCAGACTTGAACTGGTCATGCCCTTCCTACTGCAGGCAATATTTCCTTGGCTCCTTCCTCCGTAAGATACCTTCCTATTTCACACATCCATGCTACCAACCTGTGAAATTCCCTTCCTCACTCTTATCTGCCATCTTCTTCTTTTTTTTTACGATTTGTCCTTATAAAGTGTTGTTGATGATATTTAATTGTCCCTTTTATATTTTGTATCTATATTTTTGTAAATAGATATTTTTCTATAGCCTGATCAGGCTTAAATCATTTTTAAATAGGATATGTTTATAATTAGTTATTCCAGGGGGCTTTCAGTCCCAGAATACAGTTTATTTTTTCTTTTAATACCTCCAGTGCATCTTATTTAGAATCTTTCTATCCCATTAATCCTAGAGTCTTTTTTGTTTTGGTTTAAAAAAGTCTTAAAGGAACTTGGCTACTTAGGTCTTTTTAAGCATTATGCTCACATACAATATTTGTCTTGTGGCAGTTTTGTAGTTTGAATTCAACCTTTTCATTTTCGAACAAGTGTTTTGTTTCTATAAATTATGCATTCAAGTAGCAAAAAGATTGCCAGTTTCCAATTAGAAAGGAGTATTAATATTGACCTACTTGTTAAATTTGCCGTTTAAAATGATAATACCTTGAAATCTTTTTTTTCCCAATGTTAATCAAACAATATAAAACCAATTAAAGATTATTTATGTTTGAAATAAATAGCTCTTTTGTAGTTTTGGTATTAATTAAAAGATTTATTTAGACAATTTACTTAAAAAGTTATAAACCACCATCCAAAACAAAATTTAACTGATTAATTTCTCAATTTCAATATTATTAAATTAACGGTAATGATTTTAACATATAAAAGGTTGTAAAAAATGATAAAACAATGATTTTTTTTCCACTGTTATTCTGTTAATCAAACAATATAAAACCAATTAAAGATTATTTATGTTTGAAATAAATGACTCTTTTGTAGTTTTGGTATTAATTAAAAGGTTTATTTAGGCAATTTACTTAAAAAGTTAAAAACCACCGCCCCAAAAAAAATTACTTTCACAGTTACAATGTTATTTTTTTATTATTTTTATTTTTTTATTTTTATTTATTTTTTTTTTTTTACTGGGGCTTCCGACATCTGGGTCATTTCAGCCCCAAGCTAAGTCAAGTCAATATTCTATTCACACTTCTATTTACAAACACTACATTCATACAGATAAATACATTCATACACATAAATACATCCATACAATACACTCATTCCGTTTGGTCGGTGGAGTACTTGATATTGTTATTAAATTAACGTTAATGATTATAAGGTATAAAAGGTGGTTGTAATATTATTTTAATAATACACATGGAATAGAAAATAATGAATATAATTTTGATTTTTTCAGAGGGAGTCAAATGTGGGCCGTAGGAGTAATAAAATGCTACAAAGAAAAAGCCTTATCGCAAATACTTCTCCGACAATGCCGAGATGTCAATCTCCATTATCAGGTGCGAATGATATTCATATTCAAGGACTTATAAACGATGCCTACCACGTTCTAATTGTCCAACTTATGTTCTCATTTTCGGAGAACAAAATATTCACAGTGTGTAATAAAGTCAAGATGTGAGAAAATCTCAATTTTTAACAATTTTTTATTTATTTTTCCAATTGGTTTATTTTAATGAAATAAAGTATTTTGTATTTCAATATTAAAGTAATGGGTAGTCAGACAAATTAATTTTAAATTTTTTATTCTTCTTTTCCGGTTGTTGACTTTTTATATTTCTTGGGTTTCTTTTCAGGAACTAGACAACCATCAAACTCATTTTCTTTTTATTGTGATTCTGAAAAGAAAACGAGATAGATGAGGGGAAGCTGATGCCCTGAAATTGACATCAATAAAAAGAAGAATTTGATGGTTTTCTTGTTCCTGAAAAGAAAGCCAAGAAATATAATTAATTTTAAGTTTCTCAGCTGGCTCAGCCATTTTTGGCAATTCATTGGTTTTTCAACTTTTGTTGAAATAATCCTTATATATACAATGTGGGAAGTTTAAGGGCTGACAACCAAAGCTGATGTCATCGCCAGCCCTTTGCATGTTTTTACATATTTTTCTGATCTTTCATGCGTATTTTTCAAACTGCAGCCATTTGAGCATCTCAGTCTGTTACTGACTCTGCTTTTATGCATATACTATGTCGATATCCTAAAATGCTAGACATTTGTACCTCAGGTTGTCAACCACAGAATAAACACAAAACATATAACATCATCCTATACAAACAGAAATCTGGTCCCATTAAATCCTCCAGAGTACTCTATATTCTTCAGGGCATGGTCGAACCTACTCCATTCTCGCTAATAAATTACTTTTACCATCCAGACATCACACTCCCACCCCAGAGTATTCAATATCCCTTGAGATGGGATTAAATAACCCCTTACTTTCATGCTAATAAATTACATTCATTCCAATAATTTAATACAAAAAAACATTTAAGAATCCCTATAGCTATGAGGTACCAGAGTAGTGTCTGTGCCCACCGCCATGCCCCAAGACTACATACATATCTGATGATATTTCAAAATATTTGCATCAGCATCTACAATTAAAAATGTGCTCAGCTGTTATTTTATTCATACATAATAAGCACCTATGTGGTCACTTTCCAGCCAGAAGGTGCTAGTGACCTATATGTGACCTTGTTGAATGACCTATATGTAATCTTGTCATTATGGCCTTTTACTTTTTTGACATGTTCTCCGTGAACCAAGGACTATGTTTTTCCTAAACTGCCACAGTTTGGCAAAGCTATTTCTATTTTTACGTGCCCATCAGTTTTTTCCATTCTCATTTTACTGTATTTGGAATTGATAGTTTTAAATCTGCTAGGGGTACAATTTGGGAAGTGTTGTGTGTTCTTCCAGCGGCTTCTTTGGCTGAAAACCCATGCTAGTATGACCTTCTTTCCAACTGCTTGATCCCTTAACAATTCTTATTTTTAAAAAGTTTATTTAATATTAAGAAATAAAATAATTCTTAAAAATGGGACAGGATGCTGAAATGCCGGGAAAGTGTAATTTTATTATGTTATGTTCACACAGATACTCTATTCTTTATTTTATATTAAGTTTGTTTCAGCATGTTTTCAATTTTCTACCAGTTAATAATGTTTTACATTGTAAATAAAGACAATAATTAATTAATTAGTAATCTATATTAGGAAACAGTTATAAATTGTATTTGTTTTTTAGCTGGTAGCCCTTTGGAAAGCCCTCGAATGTCTCCAAATCAACATTTTCCATTTGTTGCACTCAAAAGGTTTATATGAGATCCTACATTCATGTTTTTAAAGCATTTCTCATCTACTGTATTTATTTTCATTTTTCAATCGCTTTTAGGCCGTACAATCACTTGAGTAATGATGGTAGAGGTGATGGTAGGCGTTGGTCTGTGGCGTCTTTACCTTCATCCGGTTATGGAACAACTCCCGGTAGTTCAAACGTATCAGTGAGTATATTTCCCATGAGTATTAATTCATAGAAAATTGAAAAATAAATATTAAGTTTCTTATAATTTTTGTTTTCAGTCGCTTTGCTCGAGTCAGGAACGACTTCACCAATTACCAAATATCCCTACTAATGATGAACTTCATATTCTTATAAAACATTTTTCATCAAATGAAAGTGCTGAAGAAGAAGGCAGGAAAAGCCCATTTAATAGGCCTAGGTCTCGTAGTTTAAGGTAATGTTAATTTTGCTTTTAGTTTTAGTACATATGTTTATAATAATATTTATTATTAATGTTGTGGTAAAAACATTGGGGCGAAAGGAATGTTTAGCAGAATCATTGGCACATTTTCAGGCTCTTTCATCCCACTTTTTTACCTGTTATAAAATTGGCTGATCAATAAAAATTCAACAAAACATTAATATGTTTTATTACAGCAGTCCAAGTCGTTCACCTATAATGGATAATGATATAGTTATGATGAACATGTTGTATAAAGAAAGATTTCCTAAGGTCATTTACTTACCAAAAAATCTTGAATTTTTAAAATATTTATTATCATCGTTATATATTTTTTAATAATTACAGGCCACAAGACAAATGGAGGAAAGGTTAAGAAGTTTTATAAATGAAAATAAACAAGTAGAATCTGAAGAGTTGGATGCATTGCCGATAGTACGTTTTGTCCATCACCAGGTGATTGAATTAGCAAGGGATTGTTTGAAAAAGTCGGAGGAAAAGCTTATAACGCGTAGATATTTTTATGAACTGTCAGATAATTTAGAACGGCTTTTAACAGAGGTGTGTATAACTCAATATTTCACAAATGTATTTATTGTTCACATATCTTTTGGTTTAGACGAAAGAGAAATCATCAGAAGCAGCAATTCAGTCAGCAGGTTTTATCAGAAAACTGATGTTGATCATATCTCGACCGGCAAGATTGCTTGAATGTTTGGAATTTGACCCAGAAGAATTTTACCATTTGTTAGAACAAGCCGAGGGGCAAGCAAAAATATGTCAAGGGATTAAAAACGACATACCACAGTACATAATAACAAAACTAGGGCTTCACCGTGATCCGATTGCAGGTATGCTGGCACATATTTTCATCATATTTGAATTTATTAGTAACTTTTGTTATAATCTTTTGTTAAGATTTTAATGAGGACTTCCAAGATTTGAAATTGAACAACGTAATTGAGGATAAAGACAATGTTACTGTTCAGACTTCGACTCCAAAAGGAGAAGTACAGTTTCCAAAGGTAATGTCATAAAATCAGTAATATTTATGCTTTTAGAAGGCTTCATTATTGATATATTCTGATAAATAAATTAAAAGTAAATAAATTTGTGATAGCTTTGCAGCATCACTTAAGAGGGGTAGACCAATTCTTGGATTTTTTCCTAATCCTTCCATTTTTCCTTTAATATCTAAAAAATCTATGAAATTTAATCCATCCCTAACTATCCCTTTAATATCTCATGAAAACTATGGTCACAATGTGATTGGTCTTATTTTATTCATGGCTTTCTTATGAACATTTTGATATATATTTTAACACAAATAATTATTTTATAAGCCGTTCAGCCTTAATAAACTGCCTGAAAATGCATTTTGAAAAATTACCTGAATTTATCTTCCTTTTTCTCAAGAAAAGCTTGACTCATTAAAAGATTGTTCTTACTCACAGTTTTTAAAACCCTGAATAAGAACTATCTTTAAAAGAGGTTAAACAACATACTCACCCCAAATTTATCATTTCTAACTGCTTGACTTATTCCTATGAGGGCTTGAATTTTATTAACAAACAAAAAAGAGCTTGACAAAACCGTTAGCTCTTGTCCTTATCTTTTTTTTTCTTTTTTCTTTTTTTTTTCTAAAGCAATTCAGAATATTGAACAGAAGCAACAAAATAATAATAATAATAATAAAATAAAACATGAAGTTCAAAAATGTAACTTTTCACCAGCAGTTTTTCCTACTCTGCGTTCAATTTACAACATTTTAAGCGTGCTTTTTGTGATATATTGTTTCATTGAGAATTGAGAATTTTCATAATAGCAGGGTTTCTGTTACATTGGGATTTATACATTCTTTGATGCCATTTTGATCTGTGTAGACCTTTTAATTTTTAAATCATGCACTTCCGCTACTCAAAAATGCAACTCCTTTACACCAAATGATGCACAAAAAAATTAGTTCAATAAAAAATGATAAAAATAATTAAAATTTCACATTTTCAAAAATTCTTTTTGAGCACATCCACAAATCTTTTATATCAAAAAATGCTAGAAAAATCTAGTTTACTAAAAACAATTTGTTCAAAAAATTTTTGAGCACTTCCTGTTTTCAAAACTGCCTTGCCTACTTAACTACTATTTCTGTACTAAAATTTCTTTACTTAAAAAACGTTTTTTGTGAACAAAAAGACTAAAAGGCCAGAACTCTCCTTGAACATTAATGTGTGCATGGAAATCATGAAAATAACATGTTTATTCATTTTACTTGGGAGCGGATTTTTAAGTATTAAAAAAAAATCAAAATATGTCTTTATATCTGACAAAATGTATAATTATTTTTGTAAAATAAATAATTTTGTAAAAAAGATTAAAACAAAACTGAACTAATTTCATTTTTTTAAATTATTGGAAATGACATAATATTTTAAATGTTCAAAATTGAAACAGCGATGATCAGGTCTTAAAATGAATTTGTATCTGCTATGGGGCTGTGTCAGATAAATGCAATAGTACTTTTTCATGTAAAACTCCACTAGACCAGAGAATTCTTATCGAATCATTAAAAAACTTGCAACAGTGGCATGTTTAGTGTTAGATGTATCAATCACTTTTTTTACTCACGAATAATCTGGATCTAGGTATGGTCTGGATGAAAAACGTATTAATTGTTATCTGCCTCTAATCACAGTCCTTGGCAATGTTTGGACTAAGTCTATCTTCAAAGAAATTTGAAACCATTAAAAAAAACTTAATTATATAAATTTGGAAATATATGATTGTTTGTCCTGTTGATGACCTTAAAATAGATGGAAAGATTGGCAGTAACAATTGAGTTTGTTTTTTCATCCAGACCATACCGAGATCGAGCTTAACAGCGGTAGGTTACACTGTTCTAAAATTTCACAATTTAAAAGGTATGGTTCACCAGGTAAATCGGAGTCAAGTTTTCCTACCATGATAACATTTGTGATATACCATCTATCTGTGGTTTCCTCTACTGAAGCCCAAATTGGAGCCCACCTTTAATTGTGTTCCGAATTTTGCCTAAATTTCTTGGTATATGTCCACTAAGAAATTTTTCCACTCGATATATTTTTCCAAAACTCATAAAATCGGCATTATTAAGTTTCTTCAAAGGGATGTCAGCTCTAATTTGTAGGACATATTGGCATTGAAAAAAGTTTGATGGAGTCGAAATTGATGTTTAATAAGATTTTTTTTCTCCTTATAATTTCAAGTCACAATGTGTTGGGTAACTTCGAATCTTTGCACCCAAAGAATATCCGAATCATGGATGAATGTCTTGTCAGGAAACTCACTAATGCTTCTCAACACAATGTCTTCTTTTTTTTAATTTAGTCAAGACATTTTGATACTCTTCGGCATATAAAACCAGTAAACGATACAGAAACAATTAGAAAAATTGAATAGTACATTGCTAAAATATGAGAAGGAAGTTTTGAGAAACTGTGTTTGGAGACCCAGATGTCTGTAAACTTAGATTGACTGTTTCTTAAAAGTAAAATTAAGAAGGGCATTTTTCTTTTTTTTCTTTTAATGCCATACTTCACTATTATTAAATGAATGTTAAAAATCCTATAATATGTGATAGAAATATGTAAAAACATTTAATTTACCCCAAACTATTAACATTAACATGTTTTAAATGGCTTTAAAATGTGTTAAAACATAAATAGTAAGTGGAAATATGACAATATATGGCTTTAAAAAAATATGCAAGCACTTAGAAATCTACTCCCTAATTATTACCATAGGAAATGGAAGTATTGTCATAATGCATGAAATTATTACTATGGGATGACCATTCCTGTTAAAAATAACAAAAATTAACATTTCGATTGATAAGTTAGGCTCATCACTGTACCATACAAAAAATAATACAGAAAAATTGTTTTTAAAACTTTTTAGGTGTGAAATTACACCAATTAATAAACAATTATTTACAGACTCCTTCAGAATCAGATTTTGATGTTGTTAAGCTCATATCAAATGGAGCTTACGGAGCTGTATATTTGGTTCGGCATAAAGAAACAAGGCAGCGGTTTGCAATGAAGAAGATTATTAAAAATAATCTCATGCTAAGGAATCAGATTGAACAGGTGTTTGCAGAAAGGGACATAATGAGTTTCACCGATAATCCTTTTGTTGTTAGTATGTACTGCAGTTTTGAAACAAAGGTAAGTGTCAATTTATTTGAGAAAATTACCAATCACTGATTACAACTTTTTTCATTGAATAGAAACATTTGTGTCTCGTAATGGAGTATGTGGAGGGTGGCGACTGTGCTGCCCTTGTTAAGGTTATCGGTCCTCTTCCACCTGACATGGCTAGATTTTATTTTGCTGAAACGGTACTTGCTGTTGAATACTTACACAGTTACGGCATTGTTCATCGTGATCTGAAACCTGACAAGTAAGAAAACTAATGTGACTTGAAAAAATTATAATCAGCTTTTTAATGAATTCTGTATTGTCATTTTTTCAGTTTGTTAATAACTGCACTTGGCCATATTAAACTTACTGACTTTGGGTTGAGTAAAATGGGGTTAATGTCATGTAAGTTTTTTTTCTTTATAATATATTTATTTTTCTTAATCCTACTGTTTTGAACCAACTTAAAAAAATCGCCATCTTATCATTTACAAATGCAACGTAAATTTTGTCTGCAACATTTTTATGAATTATATTTTCTAATTTTGTCATTGTATTTTTTAATTTAAAAAACAATTTTTTTGTCCAGTGCAGTAACAATTATAATCCTAAGAGTTCAAATAACCGAGCATTTAAACCTTGTCAGTTTTTGCTTTAATGTTATAGTAAAAAATGCAATGCTTTGATCTCTTTGATTACTTTTTTTTAATAACCTGTCTTCAATAATTTAATTCTGTTCAATAATTTGCTTAAATTTCATTTGAAGAAATTACAACCCATTCGTGTTAATAAACTGGTGTTTGTTCTTGAGAATTACATCTATTAGGATTTAATTTACCTTGTAAGACGCTCTATCTCACTATCATCAAGTGAAGTGAGGATGTTTAACGTATGAGCTTGTTTGTGTGGAAGGAAGGAAAGGTTAAAAAAAACACAAATTAGACATAAAATTCATATGCCTTTATTACAACACTTGTGTGGGCATCTTTATATTGGGTTGTCCGGAAAATAATGCAGGATTTTAAGTTTTCATTAAAAAAAATCTATATAAAATATTCTGTTTACGTTTACAGGATTACTCATTTGTATGAATGTCAACACTTATTAATCCTCTTCCAAATGATATTGTTTGTTTACCTCTGTAGCATTCCGCTACTTGGAAATAATTCAGTCATCCTTATAATGTCAAAGCGAGAATTTCGTACGATTTTCTTTTACGAGTTTAAACTCGGCCGAAGCGGAGCCCAAACGGCTAGAAACATTAACCAAGTCTGGGGCGAGGGTTGTGTTAATGAGTGCACTGTGCAAAGGTGGTTTAAAAAATTTCGGGAGGGAGATTTCAGCCTTGAAGATGAAGAAGGTCGTGGAAGGCCTTCCTCTCTTAATGATGATGTTCTGCGATCAGTGGTGGAAGAAAACCCCAAAACAACTGTTCGAGAACTTGCAGAGCAACTCAAAGTCAGTAAAACGACCGTCGCTGACCACCTCAAGGCGATTGGAAAAGTGAAAAAACTCGAAAATTGGGTTCCACACTCATTAAACGATCGCCAAAAAAATCAGCGCTTTGATGTTTGTGCATCACTTCTTTGTCGAAACAAAAATGACCCATTTCTGGCCAGAATTGTTACATGTGACGAAAAGTGGATTCTCTACGATAACACTAGACGTTCTGGACAGTGGCTCGACAAAGGAGAAGCTCCAATACATTTTCCAAAGCCCCCAACTCATCAAAAAAAGGTAATGGTTACGGTATGGTGGGCTTCATTTGGTTTAATACACTACAGCTTCTTAAATCCTGGCGAAACCATCAATGCTGAATCATACTGTAACCAAATTAATACCATGCATCAGAAATTGGCAGTAATGAAGCCCTCTTTGGTCAATCGGAAAGGGCCCATTTTGTTGCATGACAACGCTCGACCACATGTGTCACGTGTAACGTCACAAAAATTATTGGAGCTTGGCTATGAAACTTTGCCTCACCCACCCTACTCTCCGGACCTCTCGCCTACTGACTACCATTTTTTTAGACACCTGGACCACTACTTACAACACATAATATTCAAAAATCAAACGGAACTGGAAAATGCATTTATTGACTTTATCAATTCTAAAAATTCTGAATTCTACTCAGACGGAATTAATAAGTTACCAACACGTTGGGAGAAATGTATTGAGAGTATGGGAAATTATTTTGATTAAAGAACATTGCTTTAAAGTAACTAGTTTCTTTTTTTTTGTTTAATACCAAAATCCTGCATTATTTTCCGGACAACCCGATATATTGATTGATTTGTTTTCAGTAGACAATATTGTTGTTATGTTGTCTACATAAGTCAGCCACAACTGACGACATGTCTCTGCTTTTCCTGGTTCTCATTGTCTGGAAAAGGGGACTCTACTCATGTCTTTACTGGACTCAGCACTCTTCATGTTTCGACTTGACTCCTCCTGGCCTCTTCTATACTCGTTAGTCAATTTGACTAATGGTCTCCTGATTTGATTTTCCAATTTTCCCCTTTTAACTTGGTCCCTCAAACAAGAATTCTGAAGTGAAGGGAAAGCAAATTTCTGAGTCCTGGTGATCAAAGCCCCTCTTGTGAAGGTGGGTCATGATCTATGGCCATCACACCCAAGCGCCAGCCGCAGGTCCCACCTCTTTATTTCACCCCATAAATCAGATTTTACCAATCAATTCTGTTTCCCTTAAAAATTTAAATAATCTTGATATTGTTGTTTCCCTGTCATTTAGCAATTCGGGTAGAGAGGCGGGCAACCCACTGGTCATGCGTGCCCTTCTGTATATCTTACATTCTAACAGTATGTGCTTTGACTGTGGTTAAAACTCCACATGTCACGCACATAGGTGGAGGTTCGCTTGCCATTAAATACCCGTGTGTAATTCTCGCAAGTACACATTCTTCTTTTCTAGACAGCCTAGCTGCAAAAATGCATTGTTCTGCACCTTCTCTTTAAGAACTGCCATCAAGATTTGAACAATAAATATACATTAATTATATTTTCAGTTAATACTTACAAAGTTTAGTAACATTATTATAAAAGGTTGCTGCAGTATTTTTTCTGTACGACTTCCAATACAATAGAAATTTAAATATTTAATTAATATATTAAATTAAAATATTTTGGTTGTTTCACTAAGTGCTATTTCATGTTGAACCAGCACACTCACGGGCATTAGCAATGATGTGAAGTTTGTTAGTTTTGTGTACATACCTTTTAAGTAATGTACTGTAACTGGCTGTGTTATAGTAGATGATGGGCTCAGGTCTGTGAGTTGGTGAACTCATGTTGTACCGGCACACGGCCACTTACTGGGTCTGTCTCTCGAGTGGAGACAATCTCTGTAGGTGCCGGTTCAACATGAGTTCACTGACTTGCAGACCAGAACCCATCATCTACAAGTGCTATTTTGCCATAAAAATCAGTATATCTCACAGATATTTCTCCATAATAAATAACCACATTACATTTTCTAGTGGCAACTAACCTGTATGAGGTTTACATTGATAGAGACTCCAGACAATTTTCTGATAAGCAAGTCTTTGGAACACCTGAATACATTGCTCCAGAGGTTATTTTAAGGTATTTGTTTAGACAATAAAATAATATATGATTATTGTGAATAATGTTGTGTTTTATTGTGACTTGCACAGACAAGGATATGGAAAACCAGTCGATTGGTGGTCAATGGGGATAATCCTGTATGAGTTTTTAATTGGGTGTGTTCCATTCTTTGGTGATACCCCTGAGGAACTCTTCGCGCATACTGTAAATGGTACAAGATCTTTTTTTAGTTTCACTTTTTAGAAAAATCGCCAAAAGGAATTTTTGAGATTGCTTATTTTTGACTTATTTCAGATGATATTGAGTGGCCTGATGATGATGATTGGCCAGTTCAAGAAGAAGCGAAAGACATAATATCTGCATTGCTACAGCAGAATCCTAGGGACCGGTTAGGAACTGGTGGCTCACACGAAGTCAAAGAACACCCATATTTCAACGGTCTTGATTGGAATTCTCTCTTACGGCAAAAAGCAGAATTTGTGCCTCAGTTGGACCATGAGGAAGATACAAGTTACTTTGACAGTAAGTTTATTATATTTGTTCTTATTTAGTAAACCATTAATGTTCATTTATGAAAATTAGATACAATTTTTTATTTAATAGGAATTATTAGTATTGAATATGAAATTTATTTAATTAAAATTCATTTTTAGGCAGGATTGATCGCTATAATCATGATTTAAGTGGAGATGAAAGTGAAGATACAATTCAGCTAGGAGGCTTTTCATCATGTTCACCTCAGTATCGGAAAGTGCAGTCAAAGTTTACTTTGTCTCTTCCCCATAGTAATCTTGAGAGCCAAAACAATTCTACATCTCGAAACGCTGCTAAAAAAATAAATTTTGGAAATGGTTCAAAGGCTGAACAAACCCAAAATACAAGCAGTCAAACAGAAGATTCTCGTGAGGTAGAAGGTGTTGACGAATTGGAGTCGCTCCAAGGAAATGCTGGAAATCCAACTACGCCTGACTCATCTCAAACCGAAAGCGATGACGTTTCTCCGCAAATTCATAGGAAACGTCGGCTTCAAAATAGGGAAGCAGTACCCAAGTTTTCCATCTCTATTGAAGACGACCCTACCACGTAAGAAAATAATTACTGGATTATAATGGATTAAAGTCTTATTGAAATTTTCCTCAAAACATTTACAGAACAACGTCTGGCATTCAAAGAAATAAATTGGACTTATCTCCAATAACAACAAAACCCAAAAAACTTGTAAGTGGAGAACAATTCCAAGGAGGACCAGCAGTGAGAATGGCCATAGCTCCAATATTTCCTATCACTAAGCATCGCTCTAGGGCAGTAATCAAAAGCTTTAGTGCCACAGGATTATCTTTAATGATCCCCCCTGCCAGAGGTAGATATTAAGTTTTAAACTTTTCAAATTTTTTTAAATTATTATTATTATTTTTTTACAGAAGATGTTCCTCAAATGGACTCGCCTGGTGGATCAAGTACCGCTAGTTCAAGAGACAATTCTCCATGTCGTGAGTTATCTCCGTTGGTGACAAGTTTAAAACCTCCTGTAATTATACGAAGAGGACCATCTGGCTTTGGTTTCACCGTTCATACGATCCGAGTGTTCTACGGTGATACCGATTTTTATACAATGCATCATCTGGTCATGGTAGTTATTATTTCTATTCATAACATAATTTTTTTTAAATTTTCTATTTTTGCATTTATATTTGTTTTAAGGCTGTCGAAAATGGTAGCCCTGCTTTCGAATCGGGACTTCGGCCTGGGGATTTGATTACCCACATTAATGGAGAGCCTGTTCAAGGCTTGTATCACACACAAGTTTTACAACTTCTTTTATCTGGATGCGATCATGTCACACTGAGGTCTACACCTTTAGAAAACACGTCAATTAAATCCGGTGGTCGTAAACGGGAGCCCTGGCAATCAAAATTAGCAAGAAGGTCAGTCAAAATAATTATTTTACTTATCGTTTGATTTGTAATGTATTATTTAGACGTTTGAAGTTTAACATATCGACTGTGGAAGACGTAACGTGTACGACATGCCCACTGTCCTGAGCGCAGAGGACACATGGTCTGCATCCTCCAATTTGTACTTTGTAAACTTTTCACCCTCTACACAATTCCATTCAAAATTCCTAGGGGCGCTTCAGAAATGGCAAAAGTAGCATTGCAAGCGCATTTCAATTTTTTTTTTTTTTTTTTCATCTGGAAGTGAAAAGGCTATTTTCTGTTGACTGAATTCTGATTCCCCAGTGTCTTCCGTTATGACATTAAAGTCTTCTATAAAGCTAGACACTAATAAAGGATATGGACAACAGCCTCCTCCAGAAAATGAACGTTTTCTGAGAAACACTGTTTCCCTTATGTGTTTTGTTCACCTCCAAAATTTTTCCAATATTCCTAGATTTCAATTGTACCACTTTGCAAGCATATTTAAGTTTTTCTTCAGTGCATTTGAGACTTAAGAAAAAATTAATATAATTAAAATGAGCAAAAGTGAAAAACTAAGTGTGAAACTTGTCTGTGCAGTTTTCCATTGAAAAGTCCCAGGCAAGTGAAATGAAAAAAGAACTTTTAGATGAATTTGAATGGTTTTGTTCGAACTTGTAAAATACCACTGTCTGGGATTGCTTATCTGAGAAAAGGCCTTAAAAGTTGCAAAACATTTAGTGCAAACAGATTTTAAAGCTTGTTAGTCTTCAAGGTTGGCTCAACAAATTTAGAACACCGCTAACATTTCTTTCAAGACCATTAGTGGAACGAAAGACTGAGGCTGTACAAAACTGGATGGAAAAACTTAAATATTGCGCCTATTTTGAACCCAAAAACATTTTCAATTATTACAATTAATTAAGGTTTTTAGTTGAGATAAAAAAGTCAGTAGCACGAGCGGGATTCGAACCCACTATCTTCAGCTAAATATGCCGCTGCTTTACCACTTGAGCTATCATGATATCCTTTTTGCCATTTTTCAAATGTCGTGTAATCGGATTGGATTCTCGGCGACAAATGAAATGGCCACGGAGAGCTTTAGTGAAGTACACTTCATTTTAATCCATTAAATTAACTAATTTCGTGGTCTGCTTGACCAATTAATATATTACAATTAATTAGGGTTTTTAGTTGAGATAAAAAAGTCAATGGCACGAGCGGGATTCGAACCCACGATCTTCGGCTAGATACGCCGCTGCTCTACCACTTGAGCTATCGTGACCTCGATCCACTCAGACACCACTTTATCTCAACTAAAAACCTTAATTAATTTGTAATATATTAATTGGTCAAGCGGACCATGAAATTAGTGAATTTTCAATTATGATGAAACTGGCTAATTTTCTTAAAGCACTTCTGACTAAACTGTGCAATTAAAAAATGAGCATTGTGAGAGAGGAAAAGTTTTAAAGGTGCGTTTAACTTTGCTGTTGTTCAAAAGTAGCTCAGTGAATTTGAAACACAGAGAAAAGGCTAAAAATCCTCGGTGTTTAAAAGATGTTGTATCTTGTAATCACCATTGCACCATTGTCTTATAAATACGATTTTTTTTTTTTACTGTTACCCCAAGAATGGTCACTTCCGTTGAGCATACATATTTCATTCCCCAAGAGCGTCCGTTATGTGGAAGTTTTACTGTATATTGATAATTTACTATGCAAGTTATTGACAATTTTGGTTTCCCTTTCATTGTCATACTGTCCAGATATTCAAAAAACTCTGAATTATTGTATGCTTTTCAAAATAATAATGCATGGAGTGAGAAACAGAAATATTGTAATTTGCAAATACTAGTTCGTGGATTTTTGTACGAACAATTACATTTCATAATCCTAATAAAAAATGATAATGATGAAATAAGCGTATCAATTCAATAATTGAAAGTGACCAAGTGGTTTTCAGGATGTAAATGTGTATTTGAATATGTATTTTCTTGTTTTCTTTCAATCCAGTGTAAAGGATATAGCATTCAGTTCTCTGAATATACACTCGCCATTGAGGGGGTGTAACAGCATTTCTATCTCACTCCCCATGCAAGCGGCGGCACTCATGCTGGCTCCGCTAAATTCCTCTATTAGCAAATGGTGTTTAATCTTCTATATTGGTGGGGGGATCTGTCTTTTAACATTTTGACATATTCCATCAGTTGTGTAAAATAATATAATAGATTTTGATTTACCCCCAATTTTAAACCTGCACATAGTAAAATCCATGGAGAACAGCAATAAGAATATAATTTAATTCTAGATAAAACAATTATTTTGCTTTCAGTATAAGTGCAGTATTTATGTTGATTTGGTTATTTTCGTTGTAATCCATGCAAAATTGAGCGGCTTTAAACCAGCTGTTCTATGGGACATTGTGTTGTTGGGGTATTTGCAAGTCACTGTCTACAACCTGCATAGAAAATATACTTTTAGATTATTTCTAATATATTACAATTAATTAAGGTTTTTAGTTGAGATGAAAAAAAGTTAATGGCACGAGCGGGATTCGAACCCACGATCTTCGGCTAGATACGCTGCTGCTCTACCACTTAAGCTATCGTGACCTCGATCCACTCGGACATCAACTTCCTATCTCAACCCCCCCCCCTTATGAGTTTTCCCTCCTTTTTGCCATTTTTCAAAATTAAAATTCAAGATTAAAATGAAGTACACTTCACTAAAGCTCTCAGTGGCCATTTCATTTGTCGTCGAGAATCCAATCCGATTACACGACATTCGAAAAATGGCAAAAAGGAGGGAAAACTCATAAGGTGGAGTTTAAGTAGTAAAAGCCTTAATTAATTGTAATGTATTAATTGGTCAAGCGGACCACGAAATTAGTGAATTTAATTATTTCTAATGATGAGCATTTAATGCTCAAAATCTGTATCAGTGCAAAACCAGCGAGTAGAACTATCTTTTCTTTATTTCTTATTTTATTTTGTAATCTTTCTTTTGAAAAAGAGTTAAACAGGTAAATAAATGAGCCCTCCCTATGAAACTATAGTTATTTTCTGTTTAGTTATGTGTATATTTATTTGAACTACAAATGTTAATATTGTCCAAGCGAAAATTCAAACTATTAATCAAAAATATTGTGCTCTAGGTCTTTGCAGAAACAAAGAAAGCAAAAACGAGATATTGGTGATAAAAGGCGAAAAGCATCCCTCTTCAGGAGGATAAGTAGCAAAAGAGCAAGTGTAGAAATGCAACAGGTATTATTTTTTTTACTAAATATTTTTTTTATTTTTTATTTTTTTTTTTTAAACATCCAGTCACAAATTTGTTTTAAAATTATTGATAATTTTTTTAATATGAAATTTTGGTTCTGAATGAATACAAATTGACCAGTTTAAGTGTTATTAAGTAAATTATTCAATTTTAGATGGGTGTGTCATCGCCGTCACTTGTGACACCAAGCCGAAGTTTCCAGTCTTTTACTAGACCTATAACTACACATGTTGACCCAGTAACTAGGTCACCGTCTACACCTAAACTTGTAATGAGCCCTTCTGATCCAAATACACGTAGTTCTGATACATCGGGCAGTTCATCTAGTTCGTCTAATGGTAGTCCAGCAGTTCCGACTTCACATTATCAACGACCATCCACACTCCATGGGTTAAAACATAAGCTTCATTCTGCTGCCAAGACTATTCATTCACCAAGTAGAAGAAAATCAGTTGGCCACATTCCATTATCTCCTTTAGCCCGAACACCTTCACCTTCTCCAGTACCTTCTTCACCGACTCGCTCTCCTAGTCCTCTAGCTTTTCCTCCCGGTCATCAACCTGGAAGTTCAAATACCACGCAATCTTACAGTCCAGGTTGTTCTGGAGCTACTGCCACAAAAAAAGGATTTAATCGTCCTAAAAGTGCCGAGCCGGGATCTCCACTTTTAAGAAGGGCACTTTCGCCTGATCGCTTGCACCCAAGGAGTGCAGAGACAAAAACAAAATCTTGCCCCACTACAATATCTCCCTTATGTGACCCTGCTCTCAAAGTCACTATATCCACTCTCCCTCGGGTAACTATAACATCTAAATCGCCACCTGTTCAAAAAATCAACACCGATGCCGATCCTGTAAAATCCAAACCCCCTGAACATCCTTTGAGAAAGGAAAAGGAAAGAAGAAATAGCGAACCAGAACATTTAATAACCCATGATGAATCAGAATCAGACTTTCTTTCGATTTCATCATCCCAACCGCTACCAAGGATAGCCGAAGAAAAAGATTCACCAACTGCTACAAAAGACGATATAGCGCCTGCTATCTGTAGTAATAGCAGCGGTAATAGTTCTAATGTTGGCAGCCACAGCACTACTAGCACTATTGGCACAAATATTAGTACTACCTCTAATAACAACTCTACGACTCAAACTTATAGCAACAACAATAACAATAGTAACAATAATAAAAATATCGAACCTGAAGTGAGTGGTTCACAGTCAACAAACCAACCCCAGAGCAAAACTAAGAGTAAAACTACTCTGAAACATCTCTCCCTTGTTAAAAAAAATAAAAAATAAATCGTGATATTGCACCAAATGTAAAAAGTAAATTTACCAGAAGATATTCCATTTAAAGCTCATTAACATAGTCCGCAACATTTTAATTATTATTATTATTATTTTATTTTTTCTAAATAATCATTATTATTTTAAAAATAATAATATGTCAACATAGTATCCATGTTATTCATTCTGCTGTAAATGCTCAAATTATGTACATTATTTTATTTTTAAATGATATTTATGAACAACACTTCTAAACTAGTTTTTTAAAATTATTTTTTTAAATTTAATTTTATTTTTTTCTATTATTATTTTTTTTTTTAGGTAAGATATATATTTTTTTATTCTTTAAAAAGCATATGTATATCAGGAAATGTTGTTTTTATTTTAATTCTACGTGATATTCATGTAATTTTGTTGACTGTTTATGATTCTAACTTTTAAGTATTAATGTTTGTGTGATTTCATGGAAAGGTGAGAAATGAGTCTGTAAAACATTATGCCGTTTGTTGACCACAGGGGAAATAATTGTGTGATTACTATTGTAAATTCTGTAAAACTAATCTTAAAAACATTTTAATAATTATAGATGTAAAAAAAAAATGATTTACCAAGTGTTTGTATAGATAGGCTGTGATTTTATTTATTGTGAAAAATTATTTATTAATAAACTTATCTGGTGCGAAATGTTATTTGTTAACAATTTTAGTGCGGATTTTCACATTATACACCAGGAAAATATATGATTTGTCTTGTGATAAAACTTTCTAAGGATTTTGTTGTTTATTAGATAAAACTCTCCTAATGACTTCATTTATTGCTTCATTTTTACCATTGTAATTGATTATGAATAACATATCTGTCTCATACTACAGTTTATGTTGTTTATTATTAAATGGATTATGTTTTGTAATTTTTTTTTTTTTTTTTGATCTCATGTAGTTAGATTTGTTACTAACAGTAGCTTCCCAAATTGTTCTTGTTTTTTATACATGTTCGCCTTATATTCCTTTTTTTAAATGCAGTTGTAAAATTAATTTGATTATTCCTTTTAGAAGTAATATTGTAATTAGTTATACGTATTTTTTAAATTTCAATTGAGGGGCTTCTGTATGTTGCATTGTTTAATCTACTAAAAAAATGAAACTATTATTAATAAAGGACTAGCAATGAATTAAATTCGTAAAAAACAACAAAAAAAGCTATCATTTATAAACGGCACAATATATAACGTGTTAAGTATTTAAACATATATATTTGTGTATAGTAACTATTCCAACTATATCTGTGTTAATTGAGAGATTTATACATGAAAAATTAAAAAAAAAATGTTAAGATGTTATGTACTAGTATTATGTGTAGAATACTCATTTTCAAATTGTATTCACTTGTTGATTTATATTTAAATGTACGTTTGAAACTACATCAGGATATAAGTTACTATTTCTTAAATAGTTGTACTTTATTCCTTACGCTATGGCCGCCTATTCAGTTGACAAAAAATCTACTCTTGTTTGTCCTGAACAATAAACATACTTATATAAAATAATTATGACTTTTATAACTGTATTGTATTTGTTTTTAAGCTGTACTGAAACATTGCACCACTTGCCGAATGAAAATGAACATTAATTTTTGTTTCAATGTAAAATACTTTTTAAAAATTAATAACATTTAAGTGTAATTAATAATGAATATAAATAAACAAAAACACAAGGCAATATTCTTTTTTTTTCTCCCTTTTTCTTACACATTGCTAACTAAACCGATGCAATCTGGTCCTCTGATAATAAAAATGCAATAAAAAAAGAAGTGGAAGCGACGGTGGGAAGAGTACCTCATGCATCAAGAGCATAGTCAATAGGTGTACCTCTGAGGTTCCGAATCAACGAAGGATCATATCCAACTAAGAAGATAAGCCATATTAGTGGACACTTTTGGGCCATAGACCACGCATGCAGCTGACTAATGAAACCATTATAATTTATTAAATCCATTAGATTTCGTGATCCGATTGACCAAATAACCTCTTTCAATTAATTAATCTTTATGTAAGGTATTGGTTGAGATAAAGGGTCAATGTCACGAGCGGGATTCGAACCCACGACCTTCGGCTAAATACGCCGCTGCTCTACCACTTGAGCTAAAGTAACTTCAATCCACTCGGACACCAACTTCCCATCTCAAAAGGTTGGTTGAATCATTTATCTTTTATTGATGATGATGAGGTTATTAGGAAATGGTTTTGGTATTTAAGCAGCCTTTTGGCTTATTAGTTTAGGCTAATTAATTAGTTATCAGTTCAGTTGAGTTTGGAGTAGGAAAACCGTTACAATAATTGTTGCTCAATGATGATGATGATAATAGCACCAGAGGCTTTTGTCTTACAGACCTTAACCAATCATAATAGTTAGAACAAAACACTCGGAAAAGCCCAACAAACTCCAAGTCTATCACCACACTGAACTTACAACTTCAAGATGAAAGTGCAATGAAAAATTTTTAGTAGAGTTTGGAGTGGGCAAAGTCACAATAACTGTCTACTGATGATGATAATAAGTGGATATTAGGAGGTGGGACTTAGGTTTATTGTACTTTTTCCAGTGACTTAGTTTGGATTAATTGACTCAATCCTTCTTTTAAGAAGTAGTAGGCCATTTGCCTGACAAACCTCAATGACTGTAATAGAACAAAATGCCTGGAAAAAGCCAACGTCCATCACCACGATGACCTCACAATATCTGTACATTCATGATGAGGATATTATGAAGCAAGAGTTTGGTATTCTCCAAGCACTACAGCCTGTTCGCTTTTTGTTCTTTTCGCCTTTGTTTAGTTCAATTAACTATATCCTTCTTTTAAGAAGCAGTCAGTCATTATCCAACCAAGAAGGTCAGACCAAAATGCTTGGAAAAATTCCAAGTCCATCATTACTAAAAACTTACAGAGTTTGGATAGGGCAGTCACAATAACTGTCCATTGATGATGATAATGATGAAGTGGGAGTTTGGTATTCCCAAGAACTACAGCCTTTTGACTTATTGTACTTTTTCTGGTTCCTTAGTTCAGTTCAATTGACACGATTGTTCTTTTAAGAAGTAGCAGTCATTTTCCTGACAGACCTTAACTGACCATAATAGTCAGACCAACAAAACACTTGGAAAAAACCCAAACTACAAGTACATCTCCACTATGACCTCACAACTTTATTGGGTTGTCCGGAAAATAATGCAGGATTTTGGTATTAAACAAAAAAAAAGAAACTAGTTACTTTAAAGCAATGTTCTTTAATCAAAATAATTTCCCATACTCTCAATACATTTCTCCCAACGTGTTGGTAACTTATTAATTCCGTCTGAGTAGAATTCAGAATTTTTAGAATTGATAAAGTCAATAAATGCATTTTCCAGTTCCGTTTGATTTTTGAATATTATGTGTTGTAAGTAGTGGTCCAGGTGTCTAAAAAAATGGTAGTCAGTAGGCGAGAGGTCCGGAGAGTAGGGTGGGTGAGGCAAAGTTTCATAGCCAAGCTCCAATAATTTTTGTGACGTTACACGTGACACATGTGGTCGAGCGTTGTCATGCAACAAAATGGGCCCTTTCCGATTGACCAAAGAGGGCTTCATTACTGCCAATTTCTGATGCATGGTATTAATTTGGTTACAGTATGATTCAGCATTGATGGTTTCGCCAGGATTTAAGAAGCTGTAGTGTATTAAACCAAATGAAGCCCACCATACCGTAACCATTACCTTTTTTTGATGAGTTGGGGGCTTTGGAAAATGTATTGGAGCTTCTCCTTTGTCGAGCCACTGTCCAGAACGTCTAGTGTTATCGTAGAGAATCCACTTTTCGTCACATGTAACAATTCTGGCCAGAAATGGGTCATTTTTGTTTCGACAAAGAAGTGATGCACAAACATCAAAGCGCTGATTTTTTTGGCGATCGTTTAATGAGTGTGGAACCCAATTTTCGAGTTTTTTCACTTTTCCAATCGCCTTGAGGTGGTCAGCGACGGTCGTTTTACTGACTTTGAGTTGCTCTGCAAGTTCTCGAACAGTTGTTTTGGGGTTTTCTTCCACCACTGATCGCAGAACATCATCATTAAGAGAGGAAGGCCTTCCACGACCTTCTTCATCTTCAAGGCTGAAATCTCCCTCCCGAAATTTTTTAAACCACCTTTGCACAGTGCACTCATTAACACAACCCTCGCCCCAGACTTGGTTAATGTTTCTAGCCGTTTGGGCTCCGCTTCGGCCGAGTTTAAACTCGTAAAAGAAAATCGTACGAAATTCTCGCTTTGACATTATAAGGATGACTGAATTATTTCCAAGTAGCGGAATGCTACAGAGGTAAACAAACAATATCATTTGGAAGAGGATTAATAAGTGTTGACATTCATACAAATGAGTAATCCTGTAAACGTAAACAGAATATTTTATATAGATTTTTTTTAATGAAAACTTAAAATCCTGCATTATTTTCCGGACAACCCGATAGAATAAAAGTACATTGAACAATTGTCAGAGTTGCAAGCATTTGGAAAGGATCAAACTCCAAGTCCATCACCACTCTAACATCACAATAACTGTTCACTGGTGATGATGATAAGAGAATATTAGGAAGCAGGACTTTGGTATTCTCCAAGCACTATACAGCTAGAGCTAAAGTAGCTGCAGCTAATTTTTCTAGTTCCTTAGTTTAGTTCAATTGACTCGATCCTTCTTTTAAAAAACAGTAGGTCATGTTTTCTGACGAACTAATGATGAGAGCTAAACACTTGGAAAGGACTCTGAGTCCATTACCACTCTACTACTAACAATAGCTGTCCATTGATGATGTTGCTGATGATAAAATGATACTAGCAAGCCGGAATTTTTTATTCTCCAAGTTATTAATTAGCGAGGGCAGCTGGAATCAGAAGTGCAATAACATAGGTCACTCGAAAATCTCACAACTATTGAGTAAGGTTAACAGCCAATTATTAAGCATTAGTGATAAAAAGATAACCCCTTCGGGAAAAAGTACATTCAGGTAGTCACCCCTTGTGAATATAATTATAGTTTGGATGATGACCATCGCAACATAGACTGCTACACAGATGGTTCACTTATCAAATGTAGAGGGAGTGGTACACGAATCTACAAACCTAAAATAGGAATCAGCTTCTCCTCCCCTCTTGGTAATAACACCTCCATTTTTCAGGCGGAAATCTGGGCCATTAATGTGTGTTGTAGAACACTTATGGAAAATAAAATTAAGGGAAAGGATATTAGAATTTTTTCTGACAGTCAGGCTTGTCTTAGGTCATTACAAAAAGATTTGTCAACCTCAAGACTGGTGGAGGAATAGGATCTCTTCCAGATTTGAGAACAAGGTAACCCTTATTTGGATACCATAAAGGACACCATGGTAATGAAAAGGTGGATGGCCTGGCCAAAGAAGGTTCTAATACTGCATTTGTCAGGCCACAACCGGTATTACCTCATTCTATGAGCACAGCGAAAGAGAGTATTAATAACTGGGGCATGAAACAATTCCTTAGGGAGTGGAATTTATCCCCCGGACACAGGCAATCGAAAGAGTTCGTTAAGGTGATCAAACCAGAAGAATCGAAATGGCTATTCCATCTAATTCTAATTAATTCTAGGAAGGGAATTAGGAGGCTGATAGGTATTCTGACGGGCCACTACCCACTGAGAAGACACCTCTCCGTAATGGGTATTTTACCAGATCCCTTTTGCCGTTTTTGCGAAATAAAAGAAGAAACGGCAAGGCTCTACCTCACAGAGTGTGATAGGTATGCTAGGTCCAGATTTGAAATCTTTGAAGGAGCAGACATCACCAAATCACTTCCTGAGATA